TTTCTATATATTGTTTAGTAAGTTAGACCGTTTTTTGCTTTAGTTTTGATTGGTTAGCTTAAGATACTCGAGTTGGATGTTTGTGAACAATATTATAGTAGAAGAGTTAGGTATGTTCTTATCGGTAGGCAAGAAGAATCAAATTCCAAATACTTCCCGTAAAGAATAAATTAATTAGAAAAGAAAAAAAAAAAAAAAAAAAAAAAAAACAAGACTTGGATCTAATTATATTTTTCCTATGTATCCTAGTGTTTTTTTCAACTGTTTGAATCTTTGTAATCATATTTTGTATTAAGGTATATATATTGAACATGTAAACCATATTTAAAACTATAGTGTGGATTTAGTTATTAGCATTACCATATTACCACCAGAAATTTATATAAGTTCAATAGTTTTAAGAACTATAACTATTGGTTTTATAAATTTTACACCTAAATTGTTAATCCAAGAATATACAAATATAGCTATACATTGATGACCATCCATATCAGTAAGAAATGTTCTAATCTATCGAGGACCATCCAAAACATTCTTCAATATAATCAAATCTTTATAAATATCATTCATATTCGTATGCGGCTGCACTGTATCCACTAGTTTTGAAAAGATATGCTCGTCTCTTTATACACTAAACTATTGTATTACTATGAAATTAATTATTGTTGTCAAGCGTTGAATGTCGGTATTACAAATTAAAAATAATAATTAAGATTACGTTTGAGATATTGGTTTAATTTAAACTTTTATACTTGTTTACAACGTTTTCCGATACGTGTTTAATATTTTATGTTAAGACATTGTATCCGTTTTATTAGTGTTATCATCGACATGTGGAAGCAAATTAAACTACTAAATATATATGTTGATGTTTAGATATTGAAAGTTTGAAACCATATATACATGACATAAATCAATTATTTAATTTTCAAATTTTCTGATATTATGGTAAAATTATGCATATATATATATATTTCTTATTGAAAGATTAACGAGAACGACCGAGACCGAATACTATTGGGGACCAACTAATATTTTGAGTCATCAAAGCTCATTAGAAGTGAACGTTGTGAACGTCGAACCGAAATATATTCTCGAAAACATCATATTGTGAAAAATTCATAGTTAAAGATAGAGAAGTTCTAATCCAAATAGGATAAGTTCCAATTCTAATACATCCCACAAGAATAGTTGGTCCACAATAAAATTCGGTTTCAGTCGATCTCATCAATTTCTCAATAAATTTTTTACGTTTAAGAGCTCAGTTCAAAACTAAATCACATTAAAGCAATGTTGTTAAAACAGATTAGAAAGCGAATCAGATAGTTTTATACCTTATGGTCACCGGTCGATCCTGTCCGGCTGCATGTCATTTAATTTACAATAATTTATGATATATATAATTTGTTTGTACTAAAAATATTTGATGTCCTACATAAATAAAAAATATTAAAACTTAATAACGTTTAAATTCAACATAGTTAAATCCAAAAATATATTAAAACCGATATAGGAGCATCCAAAAATATATTAATTAAAAACGGTAAAGTGGCCTAATATTTATCTTAATAATTTTCTTTAAAAATACTAATAAAAATTATAAACAGAACAAAATATAGTTTTTAATATTTTAAACAACTTTGAACATCTCATTATTACTAAGCTTTTGCACATGTTAATTTACTAAATACTATAATACTTTAAACACTTTAAAGCAGTACATATGGTATATCACATGTATGATGTATCAACTCTTTCATAATCATAGTTATTACATTTTATCTACGAATGTTATCCATAATACATAACCAAATAACAACTTGTTTTTTTTTACAAAACACTGTCTATCATTATAATAGGATAAATCATATATCTTGACATTTACAACTATAAATTTTCAAATAGTTCCTTTTACAGATACAGTTTTCTTAGAAAAAATTGTTGATATAACTGAAATTTTTACTCCACGAACATGTTGGTAAAGACCATATATAAATAATGTTTCGTACAAGATGAACTGATGAAACCCATTACCTTGTGTGTTTAGGCTTGCGACTTTGATCTGACCCGATCGTATCGACCCGAACCGAACCAATTTTTTTGGTTTTCGGTATAAATCGGTTTGGGTTTCGGTTCAACTCGGAGGGATTGAAATTTTGGTTCGGAAACCCGATCCAATCCGACCCGATTACCGATCGGGTATCCGATATTTGTTTTAAACAAATATATATCAAAATTAAACCGATAATCGAATCTAACCGATTTTAACCGGGAAGCCCAAAAAATCGGTTAAATTTGGCAGAAATTCAAATAACTGAAATAAACCGAACCTGACCCGACCTGACCCGATTATTTGTTCGGTTTTTTCGGATGAATTTTTAATAACCGAATAAACCCAAAACCCAAAAAAACCGACCCAACCCGACCCGACCCGAATACCCGAACTCGTAGGTCTATGTATGTTGATCTGTATTAAATAGTTTAATAAAATGTGTGAGACTTATATAAACGGTCACATAAGCTTGAAAGGTTGTAAGATGTTAACTTTACAATATTTCAAGAGATAGATTTTTTTTTTCTTTTGGTAATGAAATAATATATATATCGGATAATCGAAATATTGTCGAATATATAGAGTATGAACACGAAAATAGCTAAGCCAATAAAAAACTAAACACCTACACGAACCGACAAATTTAGTTCGGAACCTCAAGAACCAAAAGCCGTAAACAAATGAAGACTAATAAAGATGACTAAACTAACACGCACTCGCTAAACTGCAAAAAAAAAAAACATATATAACACTCAACAAACAAAAACTAGTCTAAATCCAAAAACTAAAGACGATTAGAATGTGAAAGAAACTCAACAAAACCCAACGGCGGGTTATGTTCTTCATGACCTCACTTTAATGTGGAAAAGCTTACCAACCACATTAAATATAGTTAGTTTTCAAAAAAAATCTAAACATAGCTTATTTTTCAAATTTAAGAGAGTAAATTTAAAATTCCCAAAATAGAACCATTGAATTCAAAACTCAATGCCAGATTATGGAGGTTAATCTCGGTGCCAGATTCGCTCTTTGCGAAGGTTTTTAAAGGACGGTATTATAGAAAGTCGGATCCTATGGATCCAATTAAATCATACTCTCCCTCCTATGGGTGGAGAAGTATTGTATCAGCTAGATCCTTGGTTAATAAAGGACTTATTAAAAGAGTTGGTTCTGGGGACTCCATCTCAGTATGGGAGGACCCATGGCTTCCAGCTCAATTCCCGAGACCAGCAAAAAGTAATGGTTCTTCTTCGGAACCATTATTACGAGTTAAAAATCTTATCGATACGCGAACAAACTCCTGGAATTTAGATAAGCTAAAAGCTATTGTCACTCCGGAGGACGTTCATTTGATCAATGCTATACCCCTGGGAAAATTATCAAATCCAGATACTTTGGGATGGCATTTTACTAAATCAGGTCAATATACGGTTAAATCGGGATATCACACGGCACGTCTTAACATAGGGACGGACTCTATGTTGCAAGAATTTGGACCAGACATTAAACCGCTACAAGCGTTTACTTGGAAAATAAAATGTCCGCCAAAAATACGACATTTTATGTGGCAAGCCTTAACTGGATGTGTTTCTGCGCAGGAGAGGTATTAATTGCGATACTAGATGTGATCGATGTGGGGCTTCAGAAGAGTCAATTAACCATGCTCTCTTTGAATGTCCACCTGCGCGTCAGACTTGGGCTTTATCACAGATCCCCACAGCACCAGATATTTTCCCATCAGGATCACTATATGCAAATATGGATTATTTATTTTGGAGAACACCCTCAGAGGTCTATACATCGATGTTTCCGTGGATTATTTGGTATTTGTGGAAAGCCAGAAATAATAAGGTGTTTAATAATATGGACCAAAGCCCAATTGATATATTAAGATTGGCAGAAAATGAAGAGCAAGCCTGGCAATTGGCTCAGGTAGAGATCTCGGATGATAACCTAGAAACGGTGGCAACAATTAATCAATCTCATTGTAGAGTGGAACATATCGGGCATAATCGATCAGGTTATCGATGTTTCTTAGATGGTTCTTGGAAAGAAAGTGATTGTTTTTCAGGATTAGGATGGTTTTGTTCGTATCCAAACGAAGAAACGCACGACATGGGAGCTGCAAATACTCGAAGAAGCTTGACCTCACTCCACACAGAGGTTGAAGCACTAATCTGGGCGATGAGATGTATGATCGGCCAAGATAAAAGAGAAGTAGCTTTCCTTACAGACTGCTCCGATTTGGTGAAGATGGTGTCTTACCCACACGAGTGGCCAGCGTTCGCGACCTACTTGGAGGCGATTCAGAGCGACAAGGAGGAGTTTGATTTTTTCTCTTTATCGTTAATTTCTAGAAATTTGAATGTGAAGGCGGATAAATTGGCACGAAATGTTCGTACCCTACCGCAACTATCTACTTATGTAAACAACATTCCTCCACATTGGCTCATTTGAGCCAATCCAATAAAGCTGTTGACAAAAAAAAAAAAAAAAAAAAAAAAAAAATTCAAAACTCAAATTCAAAACACATTGTCGCTCTTAAAACATCCAGGGATCCTATAAGCCAAAAGAAATCAAATCACACTGCTTTTATGCCAAAGTATAACATATTTATAGAGGGTATCTAATAGACTTGGTATTATAATTATGTTAATTGTGCTAGAAATCTAATTAGCATAATTATAATAGTGGCTACCTAATTATGAACCACAATTGTGCTAGTTCACCGATTAATCATAATATAGATTATTTTTTGAAAAAGGCATTTCACGTTTAAATTTGCACCTAGTAGATAAATCATAAATTAAGCAAATTGATATTTAACTTTCCACTTTTACCAATCAAATCATATAATTTATCAACTAATAACTTATTTCACATTTTTTTTCATTAGATAGTAATCATCTTTCGTCACGACCAGCTTAATAAGTTTGCGAAGTGAGATCGTAAATAGCTAATTTTATAAATAGACCAACAACAGCAAAATCATATACAATCAAACAATCAATCCAACGCAACATTGGAACAAAGTTAAATTAAAGGATTTTAGCTGTTGTTGAAGAACTCTTGTGGGATTATTGATGGACAAAACTTCTTTGCCACAAACTTGTACTGCAAAAAAAACAAAACACAAACCCAATCGTTATTAACACATAAAACAACAACTTAATCATCGTTCTTACTTCTTCTTATAAACACAAACTTACTTTGTGTTGACTGTATTTCTCTCTCACAGCAGGTAGAGTAGAGCCGTGAGCGGTACTACACAATCTTTGAAGATCCTTCACACATCCTCTCAACTCCATCGCTTTATATTGCGTATAGTGTTGCAATGTCGAGTTCTGATCCCACCAAGAAACAATCAACATCACATTTTACTTCATGATTCTTATAAAGAGTAAAACAAAGTCTTGAGGTTGTTTAAACATACCCATGGTCGTCTTGTTGGGTCTAGAATGTACTTAGCCAAGAAAATGGCGGAAGCAGCTACGAGTGAAGGTGAATGAGAGAGCATTGTGTACTCTAGAAGCGATAATTCCGCAATGTAGTTAGCCATACATTCTAGTTGCATCAATGGAGCCTCATGAACTCCATGGGCAGCTCGAACAAAGCGTCTGAATATCAAGTTTTAAGATTCAAGTTGTTAGTACACAACAGTATGAGATAGAAAATCAAGGATATGTTTCGTAACGCAATCATCTTACTAACCTTAGAAAGCATTTCGTTGTTGGTGCTGTCATTTCAAACTTCAAGTAATTTAGAACATCAGATTCCATATCAAGCACCTACAGAGTCAAAAGAAACAGAACAATCAGTATCTTCTTAGTGAAATCTTAATCTCATTTATCAAATTCAAAACACAAACCTCATCTTTGAGATATGTATTATCAGTGATGTAACAGAACTCCTCAACTTGTGGAGCACATATCTCTTCATATTTTGCTGCTATCATCATACATGCCACACCAAGCAACTGAAGTTTCTGTCTACTAATCACATTCCCAGATAGATATCTATCTATATAGTTCACTGTCAAATACAACGTCTCGGGTACAAGCCTATACTCTTCTGACACCTGAAAGAAACCGAAAAACCTTAATTAAACATCGGCAAGAGTGACAAAACCCCATCACATTTTCTCAATGTTGCTAACTAACTCACCTCAATCAGCCAATCAACTAAGATTCCACGCATACTCGAATTCACATCTTTCTGAACTCTCTCCATATAATCAACCGCAGGCCGCTTCTTAGCCTACCATATAGATTCACAGATTCAGAAACTTGCAAACATAAACCTAAAATCTCACATTCTGTTCAAAATTGAATAAGAGTTATCACCTCGGAGGCACGAAGATGCTTATAAATATCACAAGCAAATGTAGCACAAAGCTGAGGATCAGCATTGTTATTATCAATGTTAACAATCTGATTCTTATCCATTTTCTTCATATCAGACAACACATCTCTACTACAATAATTACCTGCAATCCAAGAAAATCAATTCAATTCCAAACAAAATCTAATAACAAAGTCATAGAGAACCATTAGTAAGTAATAATACCAATTGTTTCTGAATTCGGCGTTATGTACAGATTACTCAATGCTTTCCTCTCAATCGAAACAACAGCCGAAACTTCGTCATTATCGATATACTCAACTTGAGGACTCTTGTAAGAATCACTTGAAGACATTGTCTCGTCCATTGATACTGATCCATCATCAGATTTGCTAGGTGAAGAAGCAACTTTGTGAGGAACTACACCTTGTTGCAGAGGTAAAACATTGTTCGAAAACCCGGCATTTACGCAAACAGGTTGTGTTGGTGCTAACTTCAATTTCGCAGACTTGTTCGAACAATGTACCTATACAAAATTCAAAACCAAAAATCCTAAAATTCAATAAGCAAATTCACAGATTCAATCTCAGAAACAATGAATCTATAGTGTAATTACTCAATTCAAACAAAAATTGCTCATAGAAACCAAATCCACAACAAAAACTGAAGCAAAATTTTGTAAAATCACAAAACAATCAAAGAAACAATGAATCAACAACGATTCTTCAATTCAAACAAAATTGATTACATAAACCTAAAAGAAACCAAATCCAAAACAAAAACTGAAGCAAAATTTTGTAAAATCAAACAAAATTACAAAATTCCGATCTAAGAAACAATGAATCCATAGTATATTGAAGAAGCTCACCGAATCTGAAGATGAATTTGGTAATCGTGAGCCATTTTTTTGATTAGTGATGTTACTTAACGGTGCTCGTTTTTTCGTCATCACCGCCATAGGTTTAACATAATTCTCCGACGAAGATGGTGCTTGACGCTTCGCTAGTGAAGATTTCGTCGACGAGGAAAACGAAGATCGCCGATTCTGATGAATGTTCGACATTTTTTTAGGGTAAAATCTCTGAGAGAATCTCTGAAAATGGAAACTGAGTTTTAATGGAGAAAAAGAGAAGAGAAGAGAAAGAGAAAGAGAGACTTTAAAAACAAAGTGAAGGAAGTGATTTTTTGTTGGGTTAAATAATTAATTTTGAAATTTGAAAGATGATCCTGACCGTTGATTTTGAAGTGTAGATTTGTCTTGGAGCGTGCACAAGTTTTAAAGGAATATGTCTGTTATTTAGTATAAATAACTGACCACTCATATTTCGCCACGTAAGCGTAAAATTTCCTCGTGCATGTATGTTTTGTGTCACAGACAAAAACAGACTCGGTTTGGTTTACTTTTTTGAATTCGAATTTCAAACGGAAATAAATTCGAATTTCAAACGGTCACCTTTTGGGCTCTTTCTCCTTTATTAAAAATAAGTCGGAGAGACATAAACCATAAATAGATAATTCATACTTTGAAATCAGGAGCTATTTTCAATTTTAAATATTTTTACCACGAAAATGTAATGTGATATGTTATTTAAATTTCAAAACGTGAAATATGGAGAGATTATTAGTAAAATATTTTATTAAGATATTTCTTAGTGTTTTTACTTGTTTAGTAACAAGAATCAAAACTCGTAATATCAGATTGAATCTCACAAGGTGTCATGAATGTGTACATAAATTAGAGAAAATTACTTTTGGTAGTCACAGATACTAATAAATATCACCTACATGATGAATATCGTTACTAGTATCAATACAATTGAAAATCCGAAACTTTGTTAAGGAACACAGTAATTGTGTGCCTCTAGTAGAATTGCAAAGAAGCTAGATAAAAAGATTAAAGATGTCAACTAGGATTATTAAGAAATAAGAGTTGGTTAGGAACTTTTTGTAAAGTAAAGATTCACTTAATAATCAACTCACTGACGTTTTAACGTAGGCACTTGGTCGTATTCATTTTCGCGAGCTTATTTCCAAGTTAGGAGTTCAAAATCTCCATCCTCCAACTTGAGGGGTGGTATTGGGGATACATATGATCTTAATGAGGATTATTTTACGTTCTATTGAGATAATGTTTAAAACCTATATTTTAGGAGTTTGTGTATATTTCGTCAATGAGATGGTCGTGTATATATAACTACCAAAGTGTGAATCAATAAAGGCAAGTCAGTTCGATATCTAATTCTACATTTTATGAAAAGGAAAACATTACTAGGGAAATTCAATTAAACAAACATACAACCAAGAATTTTTTTAAAAACGATTCGTCAAGAGATTATATTACGGAAATATTGAGGAGTTGAATACAACGATATATTTCTAGTATGTAAGATGATATGTCTAGTTGTTTATCCAGCCAAGTACAGTGAGAGACGAGTTCAGTTTGGGGAAGTAATGTTAGGAATTAGTCAAAATAAAACTAATTCCAACAATCAAAACGTAATATATAACATTTTCTTTTTATTTTTATTTCTTATTTCTATCATAGCATGGATATTACCTAGTAACTTAATAAAAGTTTAACCTTCTTTTAGTATCCCTTCTAACGTTTTTAATTTGGATCAAAAATTTTGTGTTTAGGATTTCTTTAGCTTGGTAGATTTATAAAAGACTATTGGCAAACTTTTGGCCAGTGCCGGTCCGAGCATTTGTGAGGTCCTACACGAAAAATAAAATGAGGCCCAATATATTTATAAGTTTTAGGGCTAAAATTTTTTTTTTGACCTATTTTTAGTAAATTATACAAAAATAATGATATTTTGAATATTATTACATTCAAATTTAATTGTTTGGGCCCTATTTTATTTATTTTTTCGAAAAAGACTTTAGTTTCTACCAAATATTTTCATTTTATGGACCTTTTTACCAAAAAAAAAAAAAAAAAAAACCTTTAAAAAAAAAAAAAAATTGTGGTGCCCCAAGCCACCGCTTGGGTGGCCTGTCCTGCGGGCCGGCCCTGCTTTTGGCACAATTTTTAATAATATAGAGAAATTGTTTTTTTTTTTAAAGAACATTGCAATGAATGAGTGTCGTAACCACTTATTATTTGAATATGATCTCTTGTCAGCTATCTGGACCGATTTGATAGCAAAAAATGGGAATTCCAAACCCTCATGTGGATTGGGATCAGATTCTTCTTTGGTTATTATCGTTTCCGTCAAATGTTGTAACCTCTCTTACCTTACTTCAAGGTTGGCATACTTGTCTCTATGAGATATGGAATGAGCAGAACCATCGCTACCACAGTGGAATCACTCTTCCTTGCTCAATCATTCTTCACAAAATAGACTTGGTGATCAAGAACAAAACAACTGCCCTAAAGAATTTGAGATCAAAGCATGGTGAAGTTTTGGTTCTCTTCTGGTCTATCTGTATCATGTACGATTGCGTGTGCGCGTGTCTCACTCCTTTGTCCTCTCCCACTCTCTTTCTCTTCTGGGTTTTTTCTTTTATTTTATTTCGCTGGTTCTTATTTGATTACATGTATCTTTTCTACTTTCATCTAAGAAGGCCTTATAAAAATAAAAATAAAAACATTGCAACTATGTCTTTCCCATATACTTCTGGATCAACTTTGTCGTCGATTGCTTCCTCGCCAACTTTGTTGTCGTCTATTGAAAGTATTTTTATCTTCCAAAGGCTAGAATCTCATATAAGACTTATCCAACCTATAACATGCCAACCGGGCCTTGTGGCCTAGTGGTAAAGGGGTCACAGCTGTGACTTCCACCACCAGGGTTCGAGGCACGGCCACTGGCAGGTTTACATAGGGGAATTGCCAGCCTCGTGGGATTAGTCCTTGGGCCTAGGAAGCCTTTGGGAGACCCGCGGTTATTCAAAAAAAAAAAAAAACCTATAACATGCCTTGAGGTTGTTCCATGTTTGATCGATCATCTTCTTCTTTCCTGATTAAAAACCTCAATCAAGGACACTCACAAACAAAAATTGTACGTTTGAGAATCACAACATGCTGCTTTGCTGTAATATCACTTGTAAATCTTTCCTCATCAATTTTCTTATCTCAAAATCTAGCTACTAAGCTCAGAATTAACTAAAATTTACGAACACAACACTATTTACCGAGATTTCCTTGTTTGCTAAACTAGCAACTAAACTCAAATCTCGTCAGGCTTATCCTTATATCTTTCACCATCTTCTAGATTAAGTTTTAAAAATCCTAATTAACATCTCTCGTAGATACAAGAAAATAAAGATGAATAACACTATTTGTACATTCAGTTTAATTCTAAACCAAATTATAACTCCATACATTTTCTAGAAATCGAAATAGTAAAAACATGTGTATGTCAAAGTCAAAACAATCTGTGCGTACATCACCTAGTCGTATTTGTTCTTACTAAATTAGGTGTGTGATAACTATTGTCAGAGAAATAAAAAATAGTAAAAATTGTTATAGAAAGAGAAAAGTCAGGAAGTTGCATCAATAGGCATTTTTTTTTTTACATTGGCGTCAATAGTTTGGGATTTTATGATCTCTTTGCCTCCTCTCTGTCAAACGTTTGGAGGATTTTTTTTTTTTATTGTTTGTCGGAAAAACTGTCCGGCGATTCTTGTAGCAACGACAAAAGAGAGAGGTATGATTCTTATCAATTCTTTATTTTTCATTTTGTTTTCAATTTGAAAAATTATTTTTCATTTGTTGTTTTCTTCAAATCCATTTAGAAACGTGGGATCAAAACCAATCATCTATACTAATTGCAAAATTGCAACATTTGTGTTTTGGGAGCGGCGTTTTTCGCCCCGGAGGAGGTAGTTGAAGAAACGTTCCGGATAAAAAGGGTAATTTCATAAATAAATTATGTATTGTTTCTTTAGATATATTTTAGAAAAGAGTTAAAATTTTCGAAGTCTTACGTTTAGATGTGTTTCAGAAATGTGTTACAATCACCAATTCATGCATAGACGTGGGATTTGGAAGAACAATATAAACCTTAAAACAAATAACAAAATAAGTTTTTTTTTTTATATAAGAAACTACATGTTTTTCTTTCAGTATCTTATCTTTTGAAGTTTTCTTGTACGCAGAGAAGAGAAGATGGCAAAGGCCCCCTCCTCAACGAATCAGGAAGAGACACCTTCCGTGTCTTCTCCTCGGTTGAGGTATTGATCTGTTTCCGATACATCTACTTTGATCATTTCATTTGCATTGCTCTCTTTTTCTTTCTCTAATTGAGGGCTTTTGTGAGCAGGGACCACAATAAAACAATGACGTCCGAGATGGATGATCCGGAGAAAGCAGCGGTTACAATCACACGTCTCATCGAGCAGCTTCATGCCAAGAAATCATCGGCGCAAGAGAAAGAGCTTAGCACCGCTCGGCTTCTTGGTTTAGCCAAGGGTAAAAAAGAATGTAGAAAGATCATTAGCCAGAACGTGAACACCATGCCTGCCTTTATATCACTTCTCAGGAATGGAACCCTCTTGGCAAAACTCAATTCCGCTTCAGTCCTGACCGTTCTATGCAAAGACAAAAACGTTCGTTCTAAGGTACTGATAGGCGGATGCATCCCGCCGCTCTTGTCACTTTTGAAATCTGACTCGGTGGATGCAAGAAGAGTTGCGGCCGAGGCCATATATGAAGTTTCCTTGTGTGGACTGGATGGTGATAATGTAGGTACTAAAATATTTGTCACAGAAGGCGTGGTACCGAATTTGTGGGATCAGTTAAAGACGAAGAAAAAGCAGGACAAGACAGTGGAAGGACATTTGGTTGGGGCTTTGAGAAATCTTTGCGGTGATAGAGACGGATTTTGGGCAATTACACTTGAAGATGGTGGAGTCGATATCATCTTAAAGCTTCTACAGTCTAGTAACCCGGTATCTCAATCAAACGCAGCTTCTCTCTTAGCCCGTCTTATTAGGATTTTCACTAGTAGCATATCAAAAATAGTAGAGTCAGGTGCTGTGCAAGTTCTGGTTCAGCTTCTAGGTGAGGAAAACAACGTTTTCGTACGTGCCAGTGTAGTCAATGCTATAGAAGCCATCGTATCAAAGTCAGAAGAAGCTAAAAATATGGCAAGAGATTTGGATGGGATCCACCTTCTGATTAGCGCAGTGGTTGCTTCGTCTAAAGAGTCAGTGGATGAGGAAACTGAACGCGTCTTACAAAGTTATGGGACACAAGCTTTAGCAAACTTATGCGGAGGAATGTCTGGTTTGATAGTGTATCTTGGAGGGCTATCTTTGTCTCCACGCCTCACTGAGCCCATCGCTGATATTCTTGGAGCTCTTGCTTATGCTCTGAGGAAGTTTCAGCTAAGTTGTGGTGATGCTAGAGAAACTTTTGATCCAACACTAACAGAAGGAATACTAGTGAAACTACTGAAGCCCCGAGATACTCAATTGATCCAAGAACGTATCTTGGAGGCTATGGCAAGTATATACGGAAACGCTGATCTATCAAAATTACTCAACAATGTGGAGGCTAAGAGGGTTTTAGTCGGTCTAACAATCTTGGCCACGGCCGGTCCACGTGAGCTGATGATAACTTGTTTGTCAAATTTATGCAAACATGGGAATGTTTGGGATGCTATTGGGAAGAGAGAAGGAATTCAAATCCTCATACCGTATCTTGGGTTGTCCAGCGAACAACATCAAGAATTGTCTGTTGAGTTCTTAGCGATCTTGACTGACAAGGTCGAAGAAAGTAGATGGGCTGTTACTTCTGCAGGCGGGATTCCTCCATTATTACAGATACTAGAGACTGGTGTGTCTCACAAAGCAAAGGAGGATGCGGTTCGTGTCATTTGGAACCTATGTTGTCACAGCGAGGAAATCCGTCTCTGTGTTGAGAAAGCAGGAGCTATTCTAGCACTTTTGGGGCTTCTAAAGAACGGTGGACCAAAATCCCAAGAGAGCTCAGCAAATACGCTTTTGAAACTGATTAAAACAGCTGATCCAAGTGTTATCGAGCAAGTACAGGCTTTGTTTCTTGGAGATGCTCCTAAATCAAAGGCTCATTTGATAAGAGTTCTAGGCCATGTTCTTGCATCGGCTTCTTTGGAGGATTTTGTCACCAAGGGTTCTGCAGCTAATAATGGATTGAGGTCTCTTGTCCAGAGACTTGCCTCTTCAAACGAGAAGATGAAAGAGAACGCAGCGTCTGTCTTGGCTGATCTGTTCAGTTCAAGAAAAGACCTTTGTGGCGGTCTTGGATTTGATGAGGATGATAATCTATGCACAAAGCTTTTAAGCGGAAACACTCACGCTGTTGCAACGCAGTTAGCGCATGCCCTGGGCTCTCTATCCAATCCAACAAAGAAAAAAACTGGCCCAAAGAAATTACCCGGTCCAGAAGTCGAAGTGATCAAACCATTGATAAAGTCAGCAAAAACAAACCCAATCGAGTCAACAGAGAATCCCATGTCCACTCTTGCGAACCTTCTTTCAGACCCAAATGTTGCAGCCGAAGCGTTAAATGATGATGTTGTTTCTGCTTTGACTAGAGTACTGAGAGAAGGAACATTGCAGGGTAAGAGAAATGCTTCACATGCTCTTCATCAATTACTGAAGCATTTCCAGGTCAGTGATGTGTTCAAAGGAAACGACCAGTGTCGATTTGCTGTTTCTGAACTCATTGATCTCTTAAACGCAACTGACCTGAACAATAGCGCTTTCATCGACGTCTTAGAAGTACTCTCTTTACTAGCCAAAGCTAAATATGGTGCTAACTTGTCCCATAACCCCTTTTCTGCATTCGCTGGAGTTCCTTCAAATTTAGACTCTCTTGTCCGCGGTGTGGCTGAAGGTCATCCATTGGTGCAAGATAAAGCAATAGAGATTTTGTCTCGCTTCTGCAAGACACAATTTGTCTTGTTAGGTCAACTTTTGGTGACACAATCAAAATCAATTTCTTCATTGGCTAACAGAACAATCAACTCATCAAGTCCTGAAATAAATGTCGGAGGGGCTATGCTGCTTGTGTGTGCAGCAAAGAACGATAAGAAATTATGGGCGGAAGCAATTGAACGATCAGGGTATTTGAAAAGCTTAGTAAACACTCTTCTTGATATGTCAAAGCAGAACTCTAAATCTGCTTCATATGGAATAGAAATTCAAAGACCAAGATCTTTCATTACAAGCAATTTGTGCTTACGGATGGATGACTCCGAAATGGTTGATCCAGTTACTGTCTTGGGAAGCACCGTCTCAATGTGGTTACTCTCCATTATTTGCTCTTCTCATCCTACGAACAGACTTGTTGTCATGGAAGCCAATGGACTTGAAATTATTACAGAAAAGCTTCAAAGAAACAAGTCCAACACACAGGTAGATAAGTATACTTACTAGCTCTCTTTAGCTTTTTTTTTTTTTTTTCAAATCCTGCAAGTGTTGGTGTTTCCGAGTCATGATCATTAATTTTTGCAGGAGAATACCTCAGATTCCGAGGAAAAATGGATTGCTATGTCATTCTTAGCTGTTATGTCTCAGGAACCAAACGTTGTCTCATCTCCAGTAACAGAAAATCTTTTGCCAACTCTAGCACCTTTCATGCAATCTGATCAGATGATTGACGGATATTTTACTGCACAAGTGTTGGCAGGGTTAGTTCGTCATAAGAATGATAGGATCATTTCAGAAATCATGAATTCAGATATCGTAGAAACTACGATAAACTTGGTAGGGTGTGCGGAATCAGACACAAGGAGTTTTTGTGCCTTAGCAGAAGAGCTATCTCTGGTACAAAATCCTTTTGAGGCCACTTTAGCGGTACTCTTCGAAGATGAAAGAGTAAGACGTGGTTCATTTACCAAAAAATGTATTCCGTTGCTGGTGAATCTCTTGAAGCCATATGCAGATAAAGCTGGAGCCATTCCAGTGGCTGTTCGGCTTCTTAGTCGTATTGCAGAGTGTGGTGATTCAAGTAAATTACATATCGCTGATGCTGGAGCTCTGGATACTTTAGCGAAGTACCTTTCTTTGAGTCCTCAAGATTCGACTGAGATCATTGTTTCTGAACTGTTAGAATCACTCTTCCGCAGCCCAGAAATCACACGGCACAAAACAGCTATAAGTTCCATGAAGCAGCTCATAGGAATTCTTAATCTTGCTTCTCGAAGTACCCGCTACAATGCTGCAAGGGTGCTCTGTGAACTTTTTACCTCTGAGCACATCAGAGATTCCGAATTAGCATGGAAAGCGCTTACCCCTCTTATTGAAATGTTGAATACAACATTGGAGAGTGAGAGAGTGGCTGCTCTAACAGCTTTAGTGAAGCTAACTATGGGAACAAGTCCAAGGTCAGATATTCTTACTAGTCTTGAAGGAAACCCATTGGACAACATTTACAAAATTTTATCTTCAGATAGTTCATCACTTGAATCAAAGATAAGTGCTGCGAGGATATGTCGCTTTCTATTTACCAGCGAATGTTTGAGAACAAGCTCGTCCGCCGCAGGTTGCATGGTTCCCCTTATATCACTTGTCCGGTCAGGAACAAGCACATCTATAGAAGCCGGAATGTTTGCACTTGACAGACTCTTGGATATCAAAAGATTCTCAGAGGTCGCAGAAGAACATGATTGTGTGAATCTGTTCTTCGGCTTTGTGGCTTCCGAAAACTATCTGATCAGTGAGGCTGCAATATCTTGTCTTATGAAAATGGCTAAAGACAACACTCCCCGAAAAATGGATCTGATTAAAATGGGGATAATCGAGAAATGCCTTGGTCAACTGTCCCGATCTCCTCCAAGTTCTTTGTGTTCGGTAATCGCAGATTTTTTCAGAGTTTTGACGAACGTTGGTGTTGTAGCTAGAAGCCAAGAGGCTATAAAAATGGTACAACCGCTTCTCTTGATTTTGCTTAGACAAGACTTGGATTTTCAAGGCCAACTCGGTGGTTTACAAGCTATAGCAAACATCTTGGAGAAGCCAATGGTTCTTGAATCATTAAAAATGGCATCATCCGCAATTATTATGCCTTTGATACCACTGCTTGAATCTGAATCTATAGCGGTCCATAATGCAACCACAGAACTACTGACCTCTCTACTCGAAATGCAACGTTTCCGAGAAGAGATAACGACCAAAAATCTCATCCTTCCTCTTGTGAAACTTGTCGGGATCAGGGTAAGAAACTTACAAGAGATAGCACTGATGGGTTTAGAGAAATCCTCAGTTACATGGACAAAGGAGGTAGCAGATGCCGGAGGAATTCAAGAGCTCTCCAAGGTTATTATCGACGAAGATCCTCAGCTTCCTGTATATCTATGGGAATCAGCAGCTTTCATTCTCTGCAACATTCTCAGATTCAACCCAGAACACTATTACTTTTCAGTGACTATACCAGTTTTATCAAAAATGTTGTTCTCAACAGCTGAGAGCACAGTGATCTTAGCCATCGACACATTGATCATCCGTGCAAATCAAGACTCCTCAAGTGTTCAAGAGATGGCAGAAGCCGGTGCACTCGACGCATTACTAGATCTACTAAGATCCCACCATTGCGAAGAACTCTCCGCAAGATTACTCGAATTAATACTACGCAATCCAAAAGTTAGAGAGACAAAGATATGCCAGTTTGTACTAACCCCTCTATCAGAATACATACTAGACCCAGACACAGTATCAGAATCCTCAAAAATTCTCATAGCAATGGCTCTAGGTGACATCTCTCAACACGAAGGACTCGCTAAAGCCACAGACTCGCCTGTGGCATGTCGTGCGTTAATCAGCTTGCTCGAGGACGAACCGAGCGAGGAAATGCAAATGGTTGTGATGCGTGCTTTGGGAAACTTCACAATGCATAGTAGAACAAGCCGTAAAGCTATGGCTGAAGCTGGTGGAATATATTTGGTTCAAGAAATGCTTAGATCTTGTAATCCACAAGTTTCTACACAAGCAGCTCTAATTATCAAATCTCTCTTCTCTAATCATACACTTCAAGAATACGTCTCCGGCGAAATCATCAAATCTCTAACAAGTAAGTTCCAATTCCGAATTCGAAATTAATGATCGGAGAATCAAACACTCACCGATTTCAATGCAGATGCGATGGAGAGAGAGTTTTGGACAACATCGGCGATAAACGTGGAAATAGTAAGAACGCTAAACGCGATTCTCACAACGTTTCCCAAACTCCGTTCGTCGGAAGCGGCTACCGCTTGTATCCCTCACTTAATCGGAGCTCTGAAATCCGGCGAGCAAGAAGCGAGAGATTCGGCGATGGATACGATATACACGTTACGACAGTCGTGGATAACTATGCCGACGGAGACGGCGAGATCTCAAGCGGTTTTAGCGGCGGAAGCGATTCCGGTTTTGCAATTGATGATGAAATCGAAATCGAAATCTCCAGCTCCGTCGAGCTTCCATGAGAGAGGTAACAGTCTCTTGAATTGTTTGCCGGGAAGTCTCACGGTGGCGATTAAACGCGGTGATAATCTGAAACGGTCTAACGCGTTTTGCAGATTAATCATCGATAATTGTCCCACCAAGAAAACCAAGGTAATGTAATTTCGGTTTATACTGGTTTAATCCGGTTCTAAGAAATCCGGTGCAAATCAATCCGATTTTAACCGGTATCAGTTTAATTCAATCCGGTGCAATTCAATTTTCGATTATGAGTTGGTTAAACCGGTTTTGGTTCAGGTTGTGAAACGAAGCAGCTCACCGGTTTGGAAAGAATCATTTACATGGGACTTTGCTAGTCCTCCAAGAGGACAGTTTCTTGAAATCGTCTGCAAATCTAACAACATCTTTCGAAACGTACGTAGATTAATCGTTGTTTTATTATTCGAATCTTTCGCAGAATCGGTAACTTTTGTAATTGAATGTTAAATTTTGCAGAAAAATCTTGGTAAAGTGAGGATACCAATTGACAAAGTATTGACAGAAGGAAGTTACAGTGGAATTTTCAAGCTAAATGATGAAAGCAAGAAAGATGATTCGTCTGATAGAAGTCTAGAAATTGAAATTGTTTGGTCTAATCAGTCATTTTAATTCATCCGTAAAGGGCTAATGATCATCCTTCTTACTGTAAAAATTGTTTTATTATGGTACTTAAAATGTTTATATGTAAATTCTAAACTCTAAAGAGTTATTATAATTGTGAAGGTGTCATGTTTTGGGAAGCTTATTGCAATCTTTAGAAACCCATCCGAGTTGTTGTTTGTCGTTGTCGTAGATTATCATTAGCCCTTGCATAGAGATATCTTCAAAACAAGACAAAAGAAACAAAGTTTTAGACAGAAACATTAGTGTTAAGTGTTAATGTTGTTTGTTATTTCTTCTTAATTACCTCCGATTACGTTGGAGTTTTGTAATCCTACTTCACTTCCATTTAGTAGTCCCAAACAGGCATTACCAGTTTTCTGAAGAAGAGAATGTGAATTCATAATTGAGTTTTGTTCAATGTGATTGAGTTTTTTTGGTTCTAGTGAGATTTACTTACAGAGATGATGAGATAAGCTTCTGGTGGAATCTGGAGCTGAGTGTTTCTTCTGGCATTGGTAAAGTTAATTGTTATGGTCTTGAAGAAGTTCTTGAACTCAAGAACAGATTTGAAGGGCTTAGCTCCTTTCCAGCAGATTGGTAAGGTATTATCTTCTTTCGCAACCTTCAACGGTGAGCCTTTCAGATCATTTCCGATCTGTTAACACGCGAAAGAGATCGCTTCGTTAGGTTACATACATATACATACATTTTTTCTTGAGGTTTTGTGTTTCTTTAGTTACCAGGTTAACTATTGTTTGGTATGTCTTGCTGTTGAAGTAAGTGTATGAGCTTCCGGTGTCAAAGATGAGTTTAAGTCCATTTAAACCTGTTGGCTTTCGGTTGAAAAGAAGATCGACTGGTCCAGTCGTGTAATGGTTGCTGAACAAGAATAGATGATTAGTAATAGTAGAGAACAATATAATCTCTCTGAAGCCGATCGCGGTAAATATGAAAGAAGAAAGTATACTCTGGTGATAGTAATGGTGTCCAGGCCACACCAAGGGTAGGAATGAGAGTGTCTCCAAAGAACAAATAGCCTCCACCTTTAGAACTTAGGCAATGTCCAACCACATTTCTCGTTAGTCCCGCGGCTACAATCTGTGTCAAGAGACCAATTTTCCCTCTCCCAAGCCCCAAAACTCCAGCAGTCGCGGGCGGAGGATGTGCTTTAGGTAAAATCTGATCATAACCACACCTGAAAACACAAGTTTCCTTAAGAATTAACATTTTCATCATCTCAGGATTCACATGTCTGTTTTATAGCTCACCCGAATGCTAAACGAGGTTGCATGGCCGAGCCATTTAGAAGTTTTAAAGGAAACTGATCAATAACAAGTGCACCCATTGATGAACCTTGATCAGCATAATTAACTTCATAGTCACATTGTTCTTTAGGGTTTGGACATTGAGGCTTGTTAGGAAAGTGAAGTGCTAAACAAAGCGGGTCTGAGCACGGGACAGTGTTTCCTTTAGGCTTGTACTGATGTATAGGAGGCTACAAAAACAACAAAACAGAGATCATAAGAAGCAGAGAATCCAATCAAGTTTCATTTCGAAAACAGAGAGAATATACATACCAAAGTACAACCACTGCAAGGAGCATCGCATTGAACCCAAGTGAGATCACTACCAGTATCAATATCAAATTCAAATGCCTTTGGAGGGGTTCCTATTTGAAGTAAGACCGAGTAGTATCTACAAAGACAGAACAAAAACAGAGTAAAAATATCGAAACATTGTTTTTTGTTTTGTTAACAAGATAGAGAAAACATTGATGTTCTTACCCGAGAGGGAAGACGTTGCCGGAGAGAGGGAGGACGACTGAGGAAAGAGGAGATTTGGGAGAGAGATTACTGGGGAAGGTTTTGAAGATGGAAGATTTTGATTGAGAAACTATGACCAAGAACAAGAACAGAAGAAGAGAGAATCTTGAATTCATCTTGATCTTTGTTACTTGCACAACAAACAATAAAAGAATTCACAAACAGATGAAGATGAGATCTGATTATAAGAGATATGGTCAATATATACGAATGTTGTAAACGTCAATGGTCATGATGATCTAAGTCATATTTAATATATTTCCTTAACAAGAAAACAAAATACAGTAAGACATTAATTCTTTTTTGAGAAATTAGGCTGTATGACCATAATTTTTTTAATAATTCAATAACTAACATAAAAAAAAGTTGACTACAATATATTCTGTGTATAACATGTAATATATACTATCTTTTGTTCACTTGTCATATATTTTTCTATGTATTTTTATTTTTTTCTTTCTTTATCTCTCAATCATCTATTTTATACTATTCTATATTATTTCATTTAATTTTATACTATATCACTACATCCCATAGTTACTTACTATATTTTCTAATTTAGTATGTTATATTCTTAATTATTTTTACAAATTGTATGTATATTGAGCAAAATCGTCATTCTTTTTTTTTTAAGAGAAAAATATTAATTATAGAATTAAGTGTACACTACATGATTTATATATATAGTTTCCCAATATATCATTATTTTGCTTGTTTGGGATGAATAAATATAAATAATCTGGTGTATTTTGATTTCCCAAAATTAGGATGACTTTCCAAGCAAGAAGAAAATTAAATTATGGGCATAGGAAGAAGCTTCGTAGAAACTATTGGAGAACTTCCAACGCGGTTTCTATACGGTTAAGGGTACTGTGGGGTTTTGGTGATTTTGACACTTGTATTTAAATAAATTAAACAATGAACAATTCAGATCAGTTATATAGTTTATATTTTTTTTATAAGAATGTTCTAGAGAAAAAGGTATTTTCATGTCAGTACAATCCGTAAAGTGTGTTTTCCGACCTGAACAAATCCGTACGATTAATTCATATCTAAACTCCAAAATTTCATACCCAAACTTTATATTTAGTGTCTAATTTTGAGTCGTAATTAACGGATGTTACTCAACTGTTACGGTTGCTGAGTTAAATGACACATGTTTGTTATCATGGTTTAAAACGATATAGTTTTAGTTGTCGGAATTCAAATTTTATAAAAACATTCAAAAAGCGGGTCTCGAACCAATAACGTTTCACTCATTTGCGCAGTTCATTAGCATTTGATCCACGACTATAGTGAAACATCGTGGGTTCGAGACCCGATTATTGCTAAAGTTTATAAAATTTGAACTCCAACGCTTAAAACGAAGCCACATCATCAAATATGTATCAGCTTATTCAACAACCGTAACAGTTGACTAACATCCATTAATTACGACTTTGATTTAGACACTAAATGTAAAGTTTATGTATAAAATTCAATTTTTTTTTGAGATTTGGGTATGAATTAAAAAGAGAATGGTTTTTTTATGTTGATGTGGCAAGTCCGCAATTTTTCGTAGTTTTTTAATTTTTCATTTTCTTAATTCTACTAAAACAATTGCCAAACACATTTTTTATTATTTTTATTCTCTTTAAATAACCAAACACACTTAAATTTCTTCTAATATGTATAGTTATCAAATATGGATAATTTTAAATTTCTTAATTATTACCATAGTAATAATTTTGAAATATCTATAACTAAATAATTCCTATTTTATATGCACATCGCATTTGAATATAAATACACAATTAACTAAATGATTTGAGGGGGATTAGCAAAAATACCCTTTTTCTCATGCCCTTTTTCAAAAATGCCCCTTTTAGATGTCCATTTTAAAAAATGCCCATTTTTAAATCTGAAATTTTTATAAAGTTTTATTAGGTTTATAAGGTACTTATGGATTGTAACTACTACTTGAAGACTCGATCCAAGTATTTATAAGGTTTTATAAGGTGTTTTTAAAGGTTTTACAAGTTATTTTAAAGGATTTTTAAGGTTTTTCAAAGGTTTTACAAGATATTTTAAAGGTTTTTAAAAGTATTTAAAATGCATTTATAAGGTATTTATAAAGTATTTATAAGATTTTAGATACATAGAAATGTAGTTTGTGTATGTTTTAATAATATTATATACATATTTGGGTAAATCTTATATTTTTAAGAATATTTTTTATAAGGTTTTAAAAAGGGGGTATTTTTGAAAAGTGGCATTGAAAAAGTGGCATTATTAACAATTTCCCATGATTTGATTCTATAGGTTACCTGAAATAGTTGTAATTTTTTAATATTTAAAAAATATTTGTTATATATATATATATATATATAGATTTATTGTGTGTGTGTGTAAATATATTTATCTAATATTAGTAAAAAGTTATTAATTCATTGACGCATAGTGAGACCATTTTGATTCGAAGGCTTGGAAAATAGTTTGTTTTGATTTCTGAATTGTGTTTAAAACATATTATCAAACTCAACACAACCACTATGTACTCTTAACGCGTAATAAATTTTTTTAATAAATTAATAAAATGTATATATATTTTATTATGAATAAGATTATTATAAAATTATTAAATAGTGTAAGCTTTACCATTGCATGGCACGGGTTCTTACCTAGTTTATCATTATAATAGACAAATTCTCATTAAACTATAAAAATTTGTTTTTCTTGGAACAAATTTGATAATAAAATAAAATATAAGGTTGTAACATTAATTTTCATGACATAACATTCAGTCAAAGGGATTTGGGTCCAATCCTAAATATATAGAAAGTGCACAGACTTGGACACTTAAATCCGCTACCCGTTCTCGATCCATTAATAGATATGTATCCATTTCGTAAAAGGATATTCGTAGCCTTTGGCTAAGGTAAACTAAAAAAATCGTATTTCATTTACTACGAGTGAGAATCGGGTATCGCATATCATTTTTTACCAACTATCCATCATGTAAGTGCATTATAGCCGATCCGTAGATACTCGTTTTAAATTATCTTATGTACTATATAATTGCATATAACCCAAAATAAAATATGATTTAGAGAAAAAAATTATTTTGATTAGTTAAATGTATTTTAACTTTGAATATTATAATCTCTAGTTGAATATTTTGGCAAAAAATATTTTGTAAGTATTTAAATGGTTTATAAATTAAAATTTTGATGAAACTGTAAATATTTGAATTTAGATCCGGGTAACAAGTCAGGATTGGATAACCACAGATATACATTACTTAAAGGATACATGTTTATCATGGTACCCGTTTTTTTCCAAGTTGGATATGGATAACTCTAAAATATTTTTCTCGTGTTTTAATAGATAACTCTAAAAAAATTTTCTGCTTAACATGGTTAGACTAAAGTCCAAAATAAATTGAGTTGTCCATTTTTTTTCTTCTCGTCAAAGTAAATTATATTAATTTGAAAGATCATCATACAAATTGTTCACAATCCAAGGAGGGAGATCATGGTTAGCATAATAAAAACAAACATAAATACACCCAAATTGATCAAGGTTATGAGCTACCTGGTTACAACCACGGTTTGCATATGTAAAATATATCTCTGTAAATTTAGACGCCCAAAACTTGATATCCCGATAAATGCCTGCAATGGATGCGTCGGTTAAGCCACTGTTGATGAGTGGTCCATTAAACCTAATTATACAAGTTAAAAATGATTTTAGCGCTGGTTCTATATTTCTAGTTTAATATCAATTTTTGATTATTTATGTTTATTTTTCAAATGGAAGAGAGATATGTTAACAACAAATTTTGATAAAGATATAAATAGCAATTGTGGAAGTCTTATGTACAACATTATTTTGGGTTAACTCGTATGATGTATAATGTTCTAATCATTCTAATATTTAATTTTACAGCTATCTAAATTAATATTAGTCTGTACGTATGAAAAATATAGTGATGCGTCGCCTGTATAAATAAATATCAAATATTTAATTTTAGTTTTGTTTATTTTATTTTAATTAAGATTAATTTTTATGATTTTATTTATTTATTTTCTCAGTTGTCGAGCCCTACAAATTTTGAAGGTCTTTTAAGAATTAGTAAAAATAATTTGAGAAGAGTTATTTTATAGGAAAATTGTTAATAATGCCACTTTTTCAATGCCACTTTTCAAAAATACCCCTTTTTTAAAATCTTATAAAAAATGCCCTTAAAAATATAAGATTTACCCAAATATGTATGTAATATTATTAAAACATACACAAACTACATTTCTATGTATCTAAAATCTTATAAATACTTTATAAATACCTTATAAATGCATTTTAAATACCTTTAAAAACCTTTAAAATATCTTGTAAAACTTTTGAAAAACCTTAAAAATCCTTTAAAATAACTTGTAAAACCTTTAAAAACACCTTATAAAACCTTATAAATACTTGGATCGAGTCTTCAAGTAGTAGTTACAATCCATAAGTACCTTATAAACCTAATAAAACTTGGGAAAATTAGATATAAAGGATAAATAATTAAATTATTGTCCATCTATGCATTCTATATTCCTAATTGGTCATATATGCTTTAAAATTGGTCATATATGCTTTGATATAATTAAAATCCCATTTATATCCCCAGTTTTTTTGTTAAATCTTGCTAAACTATAACATTCCAAAATTAATTAGATTATTTTCTAAAAATGATTTGGAGAAAATATATGACAAAAATAATATTTAATTACTTTCTAATTTTTTTTTGCAGTAGATAATTTCAAATCTTCTTCCGCTTTAATTCTTTTTTTTTACGGCATCTTCTTCTTCTATTTTTTACGGCAACTTCTTCTTTGATTTTCTCTTTTGGGACTGCCCATCGATATGTTGGACGATGTCAACATATACATGCACATCAAAGGCCTGTAGATGATCTACGGGAAATAACATTTGCTCATGTGTTCATGACCGAATGGCAAAGTATGAACCTCCACAGATAGATTCTAATATAATAGAGATTGAGTGAAAAACAAACACACAATGATTTATGCAACCTTTTTACATGTCAATTAACTTTTACGTTAGTCACTTTCAAATATTACGCCTATAGTAAACCACAAATTTTCACAAATGTGGTACTTTTGTTAGTTTATAATTGAGTTTGGTTATATTATG